CGATGATAGTTTACAGGGAGAGTCTGGGTGGCCTGCAGTGGCTCATCTGTGGCAAATGCACTGAGCACATACTGCTCATTTGTGCTCTGTCCCCAGGGTAGTCACCCTCCACCCTGCATTTAGAAAGGATAGGTTGTTTTTTCTCTTGAAGGAAAAATGCCTTTGCTTTCTGTGACCATTCCATTCTGACTTCCATCATATCAGCTGGGAGAATTTGTTGTCTAATCTCTGTTGGTTTCATCTTCTGTCATCCCTGTCCTGCCTGGCTCATCAGGAATCTGCAGGAGTCTGTGGAGGAGGAAGCCCCCCAGGAGTCCTGGGATGAAGGTTATTCAACTCTCTCAATTCCTCCTGGCACATCTGTCTTCAATGAGTCTTACAGGAGCAACTTGCAGTCATTAGAGGAGCAGCAAGTCAACTTGGCTGTCAACATAGGCAGTGAGTACTCCATTGTGAAGTTGATAAATCTCCAATTTGTGTCCCAGATAGACCCCATAATCTTCGGGCCTTGCTCCGCTGGCCGGGCTGAGAATTGTCATCACAGTGGGCTGAACCTGTGCATCAGGGTAGATTTCAATCACTCTGAATTCCAGGCTGAAGCATGGGCATGCGGTGGGTCAGTGAGCTTTGCTCTCTCTCTAGTCTCAGTCCATGCCCGTTGCACCCTGGACCGACTGTCAGGACATTGAAACCCAAGGCAGGTGTTGCCAACTCACACCAAGCTGTGCAGCGCATGTCCATGAGTTGTCTCAATCTGAATTAAATGTCTCTTGCAAGCTACCACGCTCCTCAGGAGTTTTGTTCCCTATGCATGTCTGTGAGGTTCTTTCCTGTTTGTACAAACTTGGGATAAAGGGATAATGGTCTGCCAGAATAGGGACATTTCACCATTGGTTCTGAGACACAAACCAAGGAATCTCTATCATGATTGGCTTTGAGACCTCCTAAAGTCTGTCTCTCACATTATCCTGTTCTCATGCTGAGGAGCCTGAGGTCCCTGAGGTCCCTGTGCAGGGATTAGACAGTGGACTGTTACGGGTGTAGGGTAATGGCTTATTTTGTCTGTCCCTGTCTGAATTTATTGCAGAGATTAAAAAGGACCAAGAAGAGGAAGAAGACCGAGGCCCACTGTGCCCCAGGTAACTTTGAGCAATTGTGAACAGCTAATGTTGTGTTGACACCTGGAGATGCCAGGTCCAGGGAAGACAGAGTGGGCTGACAATATCAATACCATCTTTTCAACAAAGCCTGAATTATTCCTACTAACATTGCTGTTGGTTTTCATTGCAGTAGATATTTAGGTTTCCATTTCTTC